TCTTTCTCTTTTACTCCGACAAAGGACTAGCATCCGGTGTATAATTTACCTTTTCATCATTACTGCAACAAATCTAAGGTAGATTTTGAAAGTTGTGATGTCTAACAGTTGGATGACCGAAAAATCATAATTTCACATAGAGAGTCACTCTGAAAAATTCTACCTACTTTCTACCTATGTCTAACAGTTGGATGACCAAAATATCATAATTTCACAAAGAGAATCACTCTGAAAAATTCTACGTACTTGCTGTAGAATGAAAGGAAAGGAACTTTGGGAATTTGAGGACATTGGCATATTGTATTTGTAGAAATTTTACTCCATCAGTGTATGGAAGAGCTTTGAGAACGATGTAGGGGAACAATGTAAATAATAACACAAGGCCCCAGTGCATCGTAGTTGACTAGGATTCTTTACATACATACATTCATACATCATTTATTTGTTAAAAGCAGGTTACAAAAATAGGCAAGACAAGAGTCCTGTTGTGTAAAATTGATAGCTTATTATTACAAAACACACATAAATGAAATTCTAGTCATAAAAATATATAATATAATAAAAAATATCCAATAATAGTAGAGTGCAAACAATTAATCTGTGAAACATGAAATTGATTCTGTTGTCTTACTGGTCAAAGAGGCCCAAGTTACAGTATTTGCACTGTAACTCCTCTATCCTCATTCATTGATATGGCGACTGGACGTGTCTCTATGTGCTGCATATTTTTTTATGTGGTAGCAAGACTTATATGCCTTATAGAACAGCCTGGATTTGCCTGTAATAACTCTAAGGAGTTTTCTTTTCATCTGTGGAGAACTTTTAAAGTGAATCTCAATATTTGCCCTCGCCTTATCGATGGAAAACCTAGAGTATACTCTCATCGTGACTTCACCAGACCAGCGAGCTATATGGCCGGCCTTCTACTTTTATGTGGTGACGTTGCCACTCAGCCCGGTCCTTATAATACCAAACCAAGTCCTATTCACTGCTCCAACATAAAGTGCTTGTATATGAACTCTAGGAGTGTTGTAAGCAAACACAGTGAGCTCCAAGCGTTATCTATTGGACAAGATCTCATATTTTGTGTTGAGTCATGGCTCAAGGAACACATTCGGGACTGTGAGCTGCTCCCGTCCTCTGAATTTACTATACACAGGCGAGACAGGAAGGACAGAAGAGACGGAGGAGTTTTTCTGGCAGCACGAAACAATATAATGAGTATTCGCAGAAAAGATCTAGAGACGGACGCTGAAATTTCGAGCACTACAAAACTAAGCTTAGTACTTACAGACCGCCATAGTGTGATGCTCATGCAATAGTTTATAAGTTTGTTTACATAAGTATTCTTAAGTTTTAGGCCCGGGTCAGGCACCATGCTTCACGGCAGGTTGAACCGAAAAGCATTATTTTTGGGACTGTACGTTCCGCTTTGGGTTCGGCTCATGTGGGGTGCGGCGTTTTACCTGGGACTTAAACAGACATATTTTATATTTTCTTAATTRACGTAAGGAGTTGAATTTCAATTGGGGCTATCGCCCTGTTTTCTTCTCCGGCCGCCCATAGCTTTGTATGTTGTGTATTATGTTTGTGGCAAATTCCAATAAACTAAACTAATCCTTGATCTTTGAATGAGACATTTTCTGGTCAAAATCCGAACTTGTGTCCTTCAGTGGATTTTTTATTTTGTTTTACAGTTCCACCACCCCAAAAGAAAGAACCATTTGATAACAGTACCTATAAAGTAAATGAGTATTACTCCTACAACGAAGATTCCTTCTATGACATGGAATGTGAAATAGATGCAACAGGGAAACGGCAGAGCCAGCCAGACCCATCAATTCCATACAGACACACAGAACCTTGGAAAAAGGAGGCCAAATCTTGAATTTTGGTTCATTTGGTGCTTTATTCTTCATTTTGCTGTGAGCTTGAAATGTTTAAACAAATAACCTGACTTTATCTTAAGAAATGTATGGATTTATCATTTCGATAATAGTAAAAAAACAAATTTAACTGAAACTGTTCTGTAGAAATAAAAAAGCTAGCCTGCATAGCTAGACTCGGGGGGGAATAGGGATGAGGGTGGAGGGGAATGGAAGGGAGAGCATAAAACAAACCCTATATATATCCTTTATCCTTTCTCCCCTGAAACTAAGAACTGCTGTGGGTGAGGCTAGACCACCAGAGGCCGCATGTTTCTATTTGGGTTTCTATTCCATATTGTTGTGACCTTTTGCTTATTGCATTAACATCTCCAACGGTGCATTTTAGAATCAATATACAGCATGCAACAAAACCATAACCAACGTTTTTTGAAAATATATAGTAATACTGGAWTTATCAAGATTTATTATCATAAAATTTTGCACAGGCTTCGCATTTTGTGGCACTGTGTTTGTTGGACTTCTTGTGGAGATTTTAACAGATAATTGCTGGGAGCCGTCAGGGCCGAGTTGTACGAAGCCTGGATAGCGCTGTCTAATGGATAAATCCTTATTCAGTGGATAACTGAATAAATTTATTGGATAACTGCTGTTATCCAATAAATTTATCCACTGGATAAGATAACCGCTGTTATCCAATACATTTATCCACTGGATAAGATTTATCCATCTGATAGCACTATCCAGGCTATTTGTGCGGTATGGCGGTAAAAAATACACTCGTTTTACTCTTCGTTTCGTTTATTTAATTGCGTTAGAGAGTTCCTACATAATAAAGTAATGATTACAATTTAACGATAAAACAGAAAACGATTAAAGCAAACGGAAAGCAAAAGAAATAGAAACTAGACCCTGGTTCCAGGGTAAGCTGGGATACCTGGAGGACCTGGTTTCAACATGCATGGAGTATCTGGTAAACCAGTTATCCCAATAAAAAAGACGCTAGGACGGGTGCGGGGTCGTGGGGAGTGGAGGGATGATGGGGTCTTAACCTGGCATTTTTTGCCAGAGGTAGAGTGTGTGTAGACTGTTTGTTTTAAACCATAGAATCACTAGAACAACAAATTTATTCACAGGACCGGAAGTTAGGTATTACTCTTAGATAAAATATGGGTCTGTGCAGAAATGCTGTTGTTTTGACATGGACCCGAACAATAATAAAGTGAAAATATTTTTTATTAAAGCTTCATAAAGAGCTCAAAGTAGTGAAAATCATTTTGGATAAAAAGTGTATGCCAAAAATTAAAGGTATGGATAAAAATCAGTCCAAATTCCAGTTCCGTCATGTCCATTCCATTCCTATTTTTAGCATACGTAATTAAGTCGTGCATGTGGTCACGCGCTTTGCAAAGAGTGTCTCACACGGGAATTTTCTAACTCGTTATTTGTGAATCGAAATTCTTTACTTAAGACGGTAAAAATCAATTTTATGTTCACAGATATTTCTAAATCCGAATGGACATATTCTTAAAGTTTAACGAGCTAGAAGTTGAATGACTTATGCACCTATCAGCGGCTTCCCCGTGGGGTCGACCCCCGGGCTGACCAGGGAGATGGGTGGGAGAATATAGGAGGATTGGATCCAGTTATTCCCCCTGGGGTTGGGAAAATTTGCGACTTTGGTTTCGTGGCTAAGAACTGAGGTGGGGATTGTAAAGAAATTATTTTCATTGCAGAGGTTACCAGGGGGATTGATTTTCCTCTCTAGTTAAAGAAATAGCTCCTGATTTTAAAAATATAGAGACTACGGACATTTTTGGTCGGGCTGGGTTACCTGCGTTATTCGCCAATACCCAGATGCATCTGCTCGTCAAGATGGCTGACGAGGTGAGAGTCAGTTCCACTGTGAAGTATGTTTTTTATTTTGACATTCTTTGTTGTTTCATAGCTATACGAATTCGAAAGCAACTTGATTTTATTTACTTTTAAATGTGAATTCTTCAATTCATGAGAGTTTTTTTTCAATCTTTTCAATGAAAAACTACCTGAAATATCGAGCAAATCGCGTGAGTGGTTACGTGTTGAGTTCAGTTTTCAAAATACAATAACAATAATTTCAGGCCAAAATGAGGGAGGTTGTAGATTGGAATGCCTTGACCAGGGGACATTGAAAAGAACAACTTCCCTTCCCCTGGGAAAAATGATCAACATTGTTTATGAATTTTTACAATCTCCCTGGTCAGCCCGGGGGCCGACCCCACGGGGAAGCCGCTGATAGGTGCATTAAGGTCAAGAAGATAGGCGAAATATATAGAGGATATTTTACCACAATTGTAAATTTTCTCGCGCGCTGATTGGTTAAAAAACGTCGTAAATAAGAGGCCATACCAACAAATGGCGTCATGCAAGATTTCGTGCAGTCTATTTCCTAGAGTTTTGT